AGAGAGAGAGAGAGACAGAGACAGAGAGAGAGAGAGAGAGAGAGAGAGAGAGAGAGAGAGAGCGAGAGATAGGTAAGGACAAACAGAACACTTTGACCCTTAAGGTCAGGCTCTGCCAGGCTCAACAGTGGAGAGAAGGAGGGGGGGGTGCTTCGTGTGTTTGTGTGTTTGTGTGTGTGTGTGTGTGTGTCTGTGTGTGGGGTTGAATGGACCAGGCTAGCTTCTGTGGAGTCAAAGAGGCAGAGAGAATAAGATGGCAAGTGAGACCATTTACCGTGTGATTGTTAGGTTAGGTTTATTGTTTTTAAAATGCATAAAAGAGCTTTTAGTTCAATTCATTCAATCCATTCTCATTGGACAGGATCAAAAGATACTTTCTATTCCTTTAGCTTCTATTATAAGAGAGCTTTTCTCATGACCTCAGAGGTCACACACCTGTTAAAGTTAAAGGTAGATAAGGGGGGGGGAGGTTCCATGACCCCAGAGGTCACACCTTGACCCTGGAGATCACAGCTTGACCCATGACCTTTGGGTCATCCATCATTTTGACAGAAAGTGGGTTATATTCATAATCTCATTTCTAATATTCCCTTTTTCACTTAGGTTCTGGAGAAAATGGTTTTCATCCAAGACAAATTTTTTTTGGATAAGTTTCAATATGGTTTCCATGCTACCCACAGTAGTGAAACAACCTCACCCATGGTACCATAGTACTGAAACAACCTCAACCATAGTACCATAGTACTGAAACAACCTCACCCATAGTACCATAGTACTGAAACAGGCTGTCACAAATGACTGGTTGATGACTGCTGATCGTGGCTCTACTTCACTCACTTCTACTTCACCCCAAGCATCAGTTATTGGACCGCTTCTCTTCAATCTGTATATGGTACCACTTGGGCCCATTATCAGCAGTTATGGAGTCTCTTTTCATTTTTATGCTGGTAATACTCATTTGTTCCTTAAGCTAGACAGCAATTGTCCGAGTCCCTGACCATTTCATCTTCATCATTGTAAGCCTCTTCATCTTGCCAGTTCTCCTCTTATTCCATACTTACAGCCTGTCTGGAGGAGATAAAGTCTGTTCTCAGAATTACCTTCTTTGACCAGAACATTTTTCTTTCTAGTAAGGTCACCAATCTTGGTGTTATCTTTGATTCACAGCAGAACTTTGAAAGCCATTTTAAGCTTATCTGCAAATTTTCATTCTTCCTCCTCCAATATGTTGCAAAACTGTGACCTTTGCTTTCCCTTTCTGATGCAGAAAGGCTAGTCCATGCCTTTGTCTTCTCCAGAATGGATTTTTGCAACAATGGCAAGAACATAGAGAAATTACAGTATGTTCAGAAGTGCGCTGTCAGGATCTTGAAGAGAGTAAATAAAAAATCACCCCTGTTCTCTTTGATGACTTCCTACCTCTGCCTGGATAACCTACAAAATGTTTCTGCCCACCTTCAGCTGCCTGCATGGTAATATGCCATCTGCTGTGGGTTAAGAGGCTGTAAACAGCTTCAGATCGCTGTGCGGAGAAAGGAAGGCATTTATCAGCCAGTCATCCTCTGCTCTGTTAGTTCCTTGTGGACTTCTCTCTATAATTATCCTGTTTTCTCTTCACCACTCGCCTCCTTTAGTTGCATATGGGCAAAAAATGGGATTTGGGCCACATTTGCCTGCAGTGTGAACTC